TGGTATCACAGAAGTTTCGAAAATTTCTAAAAGTGAATTCGCCTCCTCTATCTGATCTCACAGCCTGGATTTTAAATCCACTTTCTTTTTCTACAAGAGTTTTAAAATTCTGAAAGCACTTAAACACATCCGATTTTTCTTTTAGAAAATACACCCATGTTTTTCTACTGAAATCATCAATAAACAAAAACAAAATATTTGTTCTTACCAAAAGAACATGGAGTGATTGGCCCACATACATCAGTGTGCATCAATTGTAGTTTCCTTGAAACTCTTGATTGAGATTCCTTTGGAAAGACCTTTCTTAACTGCTTACCAAAAAGACACCCTTCACAAAGCTGATTAGGCTGATGTATTGGAGGCAAACCTTTCACCATTCCATTGCTAGCCATTGTTTTGAGCCCTCCAAAATTTATGTGCCCAAATCGTAAATGCCACAGCCATGATGGGTCTTTATAACACGATGTCAAACACTTAGCCATATCAGTTTGGATGGACAACGCAAATAAACGATTTTTCGCCATAGGTACTTTAGCAATCAAATTTCCTGCATCATCCTTTAAAAACACACTGCAACCTTTTGTGAACAAAACATTACCTTTCTCCAATAATTGATCCACACTCAAAATATTACTCTTTATATCTGGAGCATAATAAACATTTGAAATAAATTGATGATTTCCATCTTTTATACGTATCAAAATTTTACCTTTCTCCATTACTGGAATTTTGGAGGAATCCCCGAATGTGATATTGCCACCAACATTCTCATCAAGCTCTATGAACAAATCTTTGTTCCCACACATGTGATTACTAGCTCCAGTATCAAGGAACCAAGAATGTTTTTCTCCTTGCTGAAAGTCCTTGCAAGCTATCAAAAGAGTAAATTCTATCTCTTCATTATTTTCTATATCTTCTTCATGAGAAAGGTTAGCTTTCGCACCATCACCACTTTTACATTCCCATGAATAATGTCCAAATTGATGACAAGTATAACATTTAACTTGTGACTTGTCATACCTCCTTTGATATGGTCTTGCTCCTCCTGATGAGGACATCAGACGTTTACTCATTTTATTTAAGTTTTATTTATTTTTGGATTGTTATTTAAAATTTGGACTTGTATGGACTCGGCCCAATCTCGTTAGGGTTGCTTTATTATTTAAACCTATCTTACATTGTAATTTTCAGATGATGAATTGATTAATTTGCGTTTGGCTGAGCCACGTTTCTTCCCCTCTTCTTCGTTCCCCCCCGGTTCCCCTTCTTCTCTTCTCCTCCCTTCTCCTTCTTCTTTCTTTCTTATTCATCCTACATCAAATTGGTATCAGAGCTAAACCTGGTTCCAACTTCTACAATTGAGCACATTAACTGGAGTTCTAAGTTCTAGATTTTGCCTTATAACTGAAGCCCTACACAAACCCAGCCGCCATCTTCGTCTATTACATATAACACCACCACCACCGTCAACCTACTGCTGCAACACCCGTTCACCATCTCTACCTTTATCAATCATCTATTACACCCAACAAGACACCCATACAAACTCAGCAAAACTTCAAATAAGCAACGCCAGCTACGGTAAATTCACCAACACCACCCTTCATAATACACACGGCCATCTATCTACTACATACACGCAACTCCTAGTTCACTCCAAATACCCATCAAAACGCACTACTTACAGCGACCAGAAACGGAGCCATTGCCTATCCGAACTGGCCCAGTCGCAATAATCCGGAGTACCCACCTCGCAACCGCCGCCCCACTCTTGACCACCAGGGATGCCGACCACCAATTTTCCCTTCCCAGATTGCGATTCTACTTGCCGACCACTGTGTCTTCACTGGTGCCATCGCCGTTTGATTTTCAGGCCTTTTCAATTGGGCCGTAGTTAGTAGTTAGGTTTTAATATTGTATGGCAGGAATCTGATTTTTATTTTTATTTTGCTGTAATTTGGGCCTATTTTGTAATACCAGTTTAGTTTTTTTTAAAAAGAAAAGAAAAGAAAAGAGTTAAAAAAAAATCGAGAACTTTTGAGAATTTCCTGACATTATTTTATAGGATCATTTTAGTTGACTAATCAGTACCGCACCTCGACGATTTGTTGACAAGTAATAAAGCACCGCAAGTATACGGTTCGTTAACAAGTAATAAAGTGGATTAAATGACTTCGAATATTGTCCCACGGAGATTGATTAGTTCAAATTTTACCTACCGTAGCATTAACCGAAACTAAATAACCAAAGTGAATGTAGACCTAATTAAACCCCAATTATGCAATTTTTTATGATTAAATTGAAATTAATATGCAAAACAATTTAATTACGTTGCTTAGTTTGATGAGTTTCGAATGAAATGTCAGGTCGTTGAAGATGAGGTCATGACTTTGAGTAGGTTTAGGCAAGGCCTAAGAGATGAACTTAGGCGTGAGCTTGTCCTTAGAGGCATAACCACTCTTGACCACGCCTATTCTTTCGTTCGGGATTATGAATTAGTAACTAGGATGCTGTATAGAAATCGTTGTGACTCCCGCCCTGCAACCTCTTCTGCATCCACTCCATCTCCTAAGTCTATTCTAGGACCTCCTCCTTCTAATACTACCCCTACATCGGATAGTAAAGGTAGAGGTTCTGAGGTTTTAAGGACGTCCTCTTGTTTGCAATGTTTCAATTGTAAGGGTTTTGGTCACATTACTTCTAAGTATGCCAGCCGAGCCCTAGTTTTGGACGAGCGTGAAGGCATAGTCAACGAGCCACTAGAGGACCAGGTTTATGAGCCCAAGTTAGAAAGTTTGATAACTTGGAGGATAGTGAAGATACCTTCTTAGGTTGTATTCAGGCTAATCCCCTTATCCCACATACATTTAGAGTCAGTGTCGTCCGTTGCACCCTTACTAGCGTAGGGATGCCGATGATTGGCCCCGTCATGCCATCTTCCACACCTACATCAAGATTAATAACAAGGGCTGTAAAGTTATCATGGATAGTGGCAGCTACATTAATGCGATTTCGATGGCTACTGTATCCCGTCTAGGTTTGGAGCCAGTTCCTTACTCCCAACCATACAGCGTCTCTTGGGTTGATACCTCTTCTATAGCTGTTAAGGAATGTTGTTTAGTCCCTATCCAGTTCCTGGAGTATAAGGATCATATATGGTGTGATGTCATTTCAATGGATGTCGGGCACATCATCTTGGGACGACCTTGGTTATTTGACCTAGATGTAACCATATATGGTCGATCCAATTCCTGCTCCTTCGTATTTAATGGAAAAAAGATTCACCTTAACCCACTGCCTCCAAAGCCGGCTGGCTCACTGGAAACGAAGAAGGGTGTGGAACGAAAGGGGTTGTATATCATTAGTCCTACAGAGTTTGAGCGTACACTTTTAGGTGACTCAATTGTGTTCGCCTTAGTAATCATAGAGGTTTCATCTAATTCCATAATTGAGAGCCCTGCGAAAGCCCAGTCGATCCTTCAGGAGTTTCGAGATGTCTTTTTCGGAGGACCTACCTGATCATCTACCTCCACTAAGGGATATTCAACATGTCATAGATTTCGTCCCAGGGGCATCCCTTCCAAATTTGCCACATTATGGGATGTATCCTACCGAGCACGTTGAGCTCCAAAGGCAAGTGAATGACCTCCTTTACAAAGGATTCATTCGGGAGAGTTTAAGCTCGTGTGCTGTCCCAGCCCTATTGACGCCCAAAAAGGATGGTTCTTGAAGAATGTGTGTGGATAGTCGCGCTATCAATAGGATCACGGTGAAGTATCGTTTTCCCATTCCCAGGCTTGATGATATGCTGGATATGATGGTTGGCACAACAATCTTTTCAAAGATTGATCTAAAGAGTGGATACCATCAAATTAGAATTCGCCCAGGGGATGAGTGGAAGACCGCGTTTAAAACGAAAGATGGTCTTTATGAATGGCTGGTCATGCCTTTTGGGCTAAGTAATGCGCCAAGTACCTTTATGCGGGTAATGACACAAACTTTTCGACCTTTCATGGGTAAGTTTCTTGTTGTCTATATTGATGATATCCTCGTCTATAGTAAGACTAAGGAGCAACACCGTGGCCACTTCATACAAGTTTGCTCTACCCTTCATGCGACTAACCTGTATGCTAATGTCAAGAAGTGTTCCTTTTTCATCGTTACTATAGTTTTTCTGGGGTTCATTATCTCTTCAACAGGGGTGTCTGCTGACCTTACTAAGATTCAGGAGATAATTGACTGGCCTGAGCCGAAAGCTATCCATGACGTCAAGAGCTTTCACGGCTTAGCTACATTTTACCGTCATTTTATTAAGGGGTTTAGCACTATTATGGCGCCTATCACGGAGTGCATGAAGAAAGGGGAGTTTCATTGGACACAAGAGGCGGCTAAGGCCTTTAAGTTAGTTAAGAAGTGAATGACGGAGGCCCCTGTCATGCGTCTTCCCATTTTTTCAAAAATCTTTGAAGTTGAATGTGACGCTTCCGGGGTAGGTATAGGCGGAATCTTAAGTTAGGATCGTCACCCTATCGCCTACTTCAGTGAGAAGTCAAATAAAGCCAAACAACGGTATTCAACGTATGATAAGGAACTGTATACGGTGGTCCAAGCTTTGTGCTATTGGCGCCACTATTTGTTGCCTCAGAAATTTATCCTTTATTCGGACCACGAGGCCCTCCGTTACCTCAACTCCCAGAAATGATTAAGTTCTGGGCATGGACGTTGGATTGAATATTTACAGGCTTGTTCATTTGTTTTAAAACAAAAGAAGGGCGTGGAGAACCAAGAAGCTGATGCTTTAAGTCGTCGTGTCTCCCTTTTGTCGATTATGAGTGTCAAGGTCATCGATTTTGAAAGGCTTAAGGAGGACTATGAGGCATGTCCCGATTTTAAGGATATCTTTCTCGATTTGCAAAGAGGACAATCAAACAACACAAATGGCTTCCGACTTGTTAATTTTTTGAAAAATCGGGAAGACGCATGACAGGGGCCTCCGTCATTCACTTCTTAACTAACTTAAAGGCCTTAGCCGCCTCTTGTGTCCAATGAAACTCCCCTTTCTTCATGCACTCCGTGATAGGCGCCATAATAGTGCTAAACCCCTTAATAAAATGACGGTAAAATGTAGCTAAGCCGTGAAAGCTCCTGACGTCATGGATAGCTTTCGGCTCAGGCCAGTCAATTATCTCCTGAATCTTAGTAAGGTCAGCAGACACCCCTGTTGAAGAGATAATGAACCCCAGAAAAACTATAGTAACGATGAAAAAGGAACACTTCTTGACATTAGCATACAGGTTAGTCGCATGAAGGGTAGAGCAAACTTGTATGAAGTGGCCACGGTGTTGCTCCTTAGTCTTACTATAGACGAGGATATCATCAATATAGACAACAAGAAACTTACCCATGAAAGGTCGAAAAGTTTGTGTCATTACCCGCATAAAGGTACTTGGCGCATTACTTAGCCCAAAAGGCATGACCAGCCATTCATAAAGACCATCTTTCGTTTTAAACGCGGTCTTCCACTCATCCCCTGGGCGAATTCTAATTTGATGGTATCCACTCTTTAGATCAATCTTTGAAAAGATTGTTGTGCCAACCATCATATCCAGCATATCATCAAGCCTGGGAATGGGAAAACGATACTTCACCGTGATCCTATTGATAGCGCGACTATCCACACACATTCTTCAAGAACCATCCTTTTTGGGCGTCAATAGGGCTGGGACAGCACACGAGCTTAAACTCTCCCGAATGAATCCTTTGTAAAGGAGGTCATTCACTTGCCTTTGGAGCTCAGCGTGCTCGGTAGGATTCATCCTATAATGTGGCAAATTTGGAAGGGATGCCCCTGGGACGAAATCTATGACATGTTGAATATCCCTTAGTGGAGGTAGATGATCAGGTAGGTCCTCCGAAAAGACATCTCGAAACTCCTGAAGGATCGACTGGGCTTCCGCAGGGCTCTCAATTATGGAATTAGATGAAACCTCTATGATTACTAAGGCGAACACAATTGAGTCACCTACAAGTGTACGCTCAAACTCTGTAGGACTAATGATATACAACCCCTTTCGTTCCACACCCTTCTTCGTTTCCAGTGAGCCAGCCGGCTTTGGAGGCAGTGGGTTAAGGTGAATCTTTTTTCCATTAAATACGAAGGAGCAGGAATTGGATCGACCATATATGGTTACATCTAGGTCAAATAACCAAGGTCGTCCCAAGATGATGTGCTCGACATCCATTGAAATGACATCACACCATATATGATCCTTATACTCCAGGAACTGGATAGGGACTAAACAACGTTCCTTAACAGATATAGAAGAGGTATCAACCCAAGAGACGTTGTATGGTTAGGAGTAAGGAACTGGCTCCAAACTTAGACGGGATACAGTAGCCATCGAAATCGCATTAATGTAGCTGCCACTATCCATGATAACTTTATAGCCCTTGTTATTAATCTTGATGTAGGTGTGGAAGATGGCATGACGGGGCCAATCATCGGCATCCCTAGGCTAGTAAGGGTGCAACGGACGACACTGACTCTAAATGTATGTGGGATAAGGGGATTAGCCTGAATACAACCTAAGAAGGTATCTTCACTATCCTCCAAGTTATCAAACTTTCTAACTTGGGCTCATAAACCTGGTCCTCTAGTGGCTCGTTGACTATGCCTTCACGCTCGTCCAAAACTAGGGCTCGGCTAGCATACTTAGAAGTAATGTGACCAAAATCCTTACAGTTGAAACATTGCAAACAAGAGGACGTCCTTAAAACCTCAGAACCTCTACCTTTACTATCTAATGTAGGGGTAGTATTAGAAGGAGGAGCTCCTAGAATAGACTTAGAAGATGGAGTGGATGCAGAAGAGGTTGCAGGGCGGGAGTCACAACGATTTCTATACAGCATCCTAGTTACTAATTCATAATCCCGAACGAAAGAATAGGCGTGGTCAAGAGTGGATATGCCTCTACGGACAAGCTCACACCTAAGTTCATCTCTTAGGCCTTGCCTAAACCTACTCAAAGTCATGACCTCGTCTTCAACGACCTGACATTTCATTCGAAACTCATCAAACTGAGCAACGTAATTAAATTGTTTTGCATATTAATTTCAATTTAATCATAAAAAATTGCATAATTGGGGTTTAATTAGGTCTACATTCACTTTGGTTATTTAGTTTCGGTTAATGCTACGGTAGGTAAAATTTGAACTAATCAATCTCCGTGGGACGATATTCGGAGTCATTTAATCCACTTTATTACTTGTTAACGAACCGTATACTTGCGGTGCTTTATTACTTGTTAACAAACCGTACAAGATGAGTTCAGGGCCAAAATTAACCAAGTTCTGAGAACTATGAATGGAATTGGGAAGACATCTGTGTGATTATCGTTGTCTTGGCTTACACTAACGGCTGATTAGTTCAAGACATGTTTACCAGTTAGTCAAGTAAGTCTGATAATATTTCACAAAGGAATGTTCAAAGCCAGAAGTTACCTTGCCTAATATAATGTTTTTCCGCTCTCTCTCTCTCTACAATTGCATCATGTTTTCACATCGCATTGCATATGCATGTTCGAATTTTTATTCACGTGGGGAATTATTGGAAATTGGTTTCAAATTAAAATTAATAGAAATTGATTAAGTAAAAAAACCAAAAATCGAAAGGTATGACTAACATGTCAACTTCGGCCGAATATTTGAACTGAATCCGATGATCAAATTACAAAAGTAAATAGATTAACTTATTCTACTCGTCGAGTATATCGTCGTAGTATATTTGGAATCTCAAAACCAATTTTAGATGACTTAGAAATTGCGATCCAAAGTTAAGAGAAAAAATAGATGAAACAGGCCAGATGACATTCGACGAGAATTGAGCGAAAAGTTTTTGTTTGAATTTTGACAGTATTACTCTAGCAAAAAATCTAGCGAAATGAAGTGTTGCTTCTATTTGAAAGAAAGCACCATTTGGCCCGCACCACTTCATCCACACCCTTTCTTCCTCTATAAAAAAGATTTCTTGGACTTCCTCAAGGACATGCCATCTCATATTTGCACTGAGCATTCATAAAAATCTTGCAAAATCTCTTTTTCTTCCTCATTTCATATCATTTCTTGTAGAGAGGAAATTCTATCGGAAGTTCGCTGTGTTATTGTGATTTGAAGTGCTATTACCACATGATTGAATCCGTTGTATTTTGGGTGATAAATGCCGTTAGGAATGACAAAAAAATTCATTTGACTCGATACTCGTGGGTACCCGCCTAACTGGGTACATAGGGCGGGTATGGAGCAAGGGACATTGCCCCAAAGTGGGTATGGGACGGGTACTATTACTTGGAGTTCGTTTGTTAAGTCCTTTGGTGGTTGAATATTGATCCTCTGTATTTTGATTCACTTATTAATAATCTTCGTCACAAGACAGGCTGGTGAACGATGGCATATGAAAAGAAGTGTAAACAACTGAGAAATCAAGATGTGAAAGGAGAAGACCCTTCTTCTGTAGATAAAACAAGAACAACCATCAGAGATTTGTAACCTCAGATGAATGTTTCAATTCTGATAGTTTTTGTGTTGTTGAGTGATGAGATAGGATGATTGAGGATGTTTTGTATGGAATAATTTTGGAAGAAAAAAGTAGTTGGCTTTTTATTGAAAGTTAATAGTTTGGAAGATTTTGGTAGAAAGTAATTTGGTGGACAAAGTGAGTAGGAGAAAGGAATTTTATTAGAATGATGATGGCTTACAATAGCTTGAGCTTTGTCTAGCTTCTTTTTTTCTTGCGAACAAATGAGGGATCATGCCCTATTTATAGACTCTTATCACATCTTCTAGAGAATTCTACAAGTGTCTACAACCTATACAAGATTTTTTGGTGTCCAAGTTACTCTAGTGGAATCTAGACAATTCTAATTTTTTTTATTATACTTGCTTACCAAGGAATTCTAGGATATTGTAGGCAAGTAATTCTAGATTCTTCTAGAAATGAGCATCATTAAATTTATCAAATTCACTCTGTTGAAGCTGTCTCAAAGAGGATTGAAACTTTAAGGGATGAAGAACTGCAGCCGCAGCTTTTAGAATTAGTTCAAGGGTAAGTTCAAGAATCTAAAATATTATCGGTGTTTTTGGCAAAAGTTTTACCAAATTTAGTCAATCCTTCATAATTCTGTGTCATGTTCATTGTCCTGCTAAACTATGCTTTTTTTTTCCCCCCCTGGACATCCTCTTTTCCTCTGTTTCGAATTATAAAAGGTTAAAAAAAGTCTCTCTAACCTAAGTTACCTAAGTTTTTATTCAAGTTTAAGGGATTAATGTTGGGTGGGTTTGCGGGAAACACATGAAGTCATGCTTACTGTTGAGTGCTATTGATCCTCACCTACAAAACAAGGTAGGAAAATTTTATGCTGTAAAACCAAGGAATTAGTTTTCTCTAATTCTTAATTGCAGGTTGTCTAGGATGTGGCATGCAATGGCAGAAGGCCATCAATTGCAAAAGCGTACTCTAGATGAAGCTAAAATCTTACTAGCTGGAATGCCTTCAAAACTGTCAGGAACAAAGAAATACACTGTAATGTCACCTTCTTCCCCACACCGACTAGCCCATTCAGCAGCTAACCTCGAGATGGAGCTCAGGAATTGGAGAGCCTGTTTCGAGTCATGGATTGTTTCTCAACGATCCTACGTGCATGCATTGACAGGCTGGCTCTTGCGTTGTGTCCGTTCAGATGCAGACACATCAAAATTACCATTCTCTCCTCGTCGATCCTCGGGTGCTCCACCAATATTCACTATTTGCATCCAATGGTCTAGATTTCTGGATACCGTCCTTGAGGCCCCAGTTCTTGAAGGGCTCGATTTTTTTGCAGCAGGCGTTGGTTCGCTGTATGCACAGTAGCTAAGGGAAGATTCTCGCAAGAATTTGGGTGAATCAAAAAGGTTTCGAGGCGAACCCGTTGGGGGCATGGAGATGGTTGAAGTCGGACAATTTGAAGATGAAGTAATGACAGCAGAAAAAATGTCTGAAGTAGCTATTAGAGTGCTATGTGCTGGAATGTCAGTTGCAGCGACTTCATTGACACAGTTTTCGGTTAGTTCAGCCGAAGGATATGCTGATTTGGTGCTGCAGTGGGATAATCCGAAGCAGCCACACGGTTCCAATGGGACGGGAAAATTATGTAGGTAGGTAGTAGGAATTTCAGTGTAAATTACATATAACTATATAAGTAGAAGTGGAAACCTTTAATCTTCTGTTCAGTATGGATTCTTTGCTGCTTGTGAAAGATAAATGGTTGAGATTTTGGGATTGGTTTAAAAAAAAAAAAAATGGCGATATTTTTTGCTTCTACTCTAGTCATTTTGCAAGAAACTCTGTGTTTAAAATTCTTTACAATTTACTTCTTTCTACTTGTACGTATGATCGAAAACTCTCTCCCTACACTGTCTTTGGTAGAAAAGATCATTGTGATTATGTGCCTTGTATGCCCCTACATGAAATAAATGTCTATATACCTATGATTTTGGCGCCACTCATTTCTGTTTAGGATTTCTATTACTGGATTATCATGCTATATATTAAGCACTTGATCACCATTCATAAAATTGTTGATCTAGAGAAGATAATAAACCAATCAACCTTCGAAGTCTTTGGGTTTGGCATAGAGTTAGATTTAATTGAATTCTAACTAAATTTTCAGTTCTTGTGGAGCGATACTTGATTCATCACGCATACAATATTGTGCACTTGCAGAACTTTATTGCTATAATGTTACATTACATTATAAGACCAATAAAGTGGAATTTATATTCATAAATTTAATTAATCTTCTCATTTCATAGCACATATAGACGGGCGATCATCTATAAATGAAGATAAACAACATTATTCTTTTATTAATTGCATACACATTATAACATGAACACCGTCCGAGGATGTAGAGAAGTGGAAGGATTAATGAGCAATCACAGAGGTAGCAGTAGCAAGCATAGCCCTCATGCGGACTTAAGACAAAAACCAATAAAAGCTCCCGCGCGCTTACAGATTTGATTGCATTTTTAAGAAACACACATCCCACGCAACGCTTTGGAAGATGTTATATTCCAAGATAACATAGATTTAACAATTTGGTACTTTTACAGTAGAATAAATTTGGTAGTTAAGGACCCACAAACTTTTGAAAAGTCAAAAGTTTCTCTTTTTGATCTTGTTTGAATAATTATTTGAAAGTGTTTTGTCTGCTTAAAAGAGAACTAGAATAAATTGACTTAGAGCCTATTTGGCATGTTTTTTGAGAAACAAAAAAAAGCTTTTGAGATCCAAAAGCTGCTTTTGGATCAATTTGGCTAATTTATGAAAGTGCCCCTTTTAATTAAAAAAGCTTCTGAAGGAAGTTAATCCAATGTGACTTTTAATAAAAACACATTTAAAATAGAAAACCCTTTTAAAAATTAATTTCTAAATAAAAATTAAGAATCTTCAAGCGAAAGCTTATCAGAATGAAGCAAAAGCAAAAGTCTGTCAAACAGACGCTTGAAAAAACTTGAGTTAGCTCTTCTACAAGAATTAAAACCCAATCAAATGGACTCTAAAATGTTTTAGATTTTGTAAGTAGGGATTTTGTCATGATCCATAAGAATATCCATATTTTATTGTACTTGTTACGATCATTAAAAACACTTCAAGCATAGAACGTAATTTTCGTAACATGATAAGAAGATGAAAAACATGTAAAAAGTTTACTTATAAAACAAGTAGAAACATTTTGTCCATCTAAGGATCGTAACCAAAATATATTCCAGGCAACATATCGAAGGCTGCAATAATGAGAAAGCAGAAGAACAAAGCAAGGAACTTAGTGGTTTCAACCATCTGTACGTACTCTTAATTTGAAGTATTTGTCATAATACACAAGCTAAAAAGATATATTTATATATAATAAGTGTATTTTATACGTTTATTTAGGTTTTTAAATATAGACATTTAGAAGTTTTTATGATTAATTACGACCTAATCCCGTGTATATATTGTTTATCAGGCAAAACTCAGTAATTGGACCTTAAATTGGAAAAAAAGGAACAAAAATTGACCAAAATGATGATTTACAAAATTCAGAGAATAAATTTCAAATATTCATTAGTTGATTCGAACTAGAAAATGATGATTGAAGATCATATGAGATCAATTGGCCTTCCATTGTGTGCGCATGTTAATATATTTGATAGAAGGGGACAACTTTCCTTGTTTAATACAAACTCTTTTGAAACCCAACTTGATTCAAACTCTTGGATCATCTACAATAAATACATAAAAGTGACTAAATATTAAGAGATCTCTCTCTAGCCACTCTTACCATATCATACCACAAAATTTATCAAGAATAAGAGGTCAATTTACCGTATTTTAGAGCAATGATCCAACCTAGGAAGGAATTGATCGAAGGCTAATTACAAAGCTTGAGATTGAAGATCAATACTTCTTGTATTCATATATATTTCGGGTGACATCGACATTATAAAAACCATGCTAGGTTAAACTTTTTTATTGTATTGGATGAAGATGAAACCTATATTTTCTTATTTTTAATTCAAAAACTAGTCATTAGTATATTCTTAATTTTCTTGATTAATCTTGCCTGTTTTGTTACATTACTTAATCGATTGACCATTTATTAGGTAATTAGTTACTTGTTATAGTTTCGAAATGTTCATAATAAGTTAGGACTTTGTAAGATCAACATGCGAATAATAGATATTGTGAATAACATGTATGATATGTACAATCATCTAGATATTTTTGTAAGTGAATGCTTTACTTTGCATATGAATCGGAATACCAGTATGATTTGGTCTTGTTTAGAATAGATTTAACTTAATTCGGGAGAGATAGTTAGATATAATTGAATTATCGAAAACACGTAAATATCATTAACTACAAAAGTTGAGAATAAGAAATAAGATAAGATGGGTGGATTCATAAATCCAACACATTCATCTATTCATTCATATAATACAAAACATTTAGATAATCAGTAGAATAAGTTAAAATAATAACAAATAATATCTTGTGATTAACAACATTCAGATCTACATACAAATTAATAAAATTCAATTTAAAGCTTATTCCTTGTGGGTGATGATGTGCGTTAGTGGGTTTTGCACGAACAATATGGAAAAACTAATTTATTCAACAGTTTTTTCTATCAAATGTTAATAAATAATTAAGTGAAATAAGTATAGAATTAGACGTCAAATGAGTTAGTGTGAAATTGCGATACTGTAATTGATATGTCAAGTAATCTAATTCTAAAATAAGAGTAAAAACTCGTGGTCTACATACTCAAAAGTGTTCATCAGAAGCGCATTTTAATTTTTTTATTTTCATCATGCCAAACTGAAAAAATCATTTTTGAAAAATATGTCATTATTGTGAAGAGTCACTTTGAAACTTTGTACTCCTAAGATAATGTAACAGAAAGTTGATTTAACTTAAATCATAATTGCTAGCAAGATAATAAAAAAGCATTACTTGCATAAGTGAATAATTTTTCATACAGTTTTTGACAAGATTTTTGAAAATATAAACTTCTCTCATCACTAAGATTTACAAACCTCGTGAATTCTTTATACAAAATTTTCACACCAAAGTCGTACAAACACTCATGATTACTAAAAATCATATTTTCATCCATGAAAAATTATCTATGCACATCTGCCTCTATCATATAGGGAACCAGCAATGAATGAGCAACATATACAGTGTTAACATTCACCAACTGACTCACAGATACAAAATTTTGTTGAAGAAGGTTGACAGAATCCACTTACGTAAATTCTGTTGGCAAAGTGCACATCGACGGAATGATCATTGGTGATGGACGGAGACGTCACCTATAAATTTTATGTAGGTGCTGTAGGAAAATATTGTTACCATCAAAATAGCTAGATCTGTCACGTTGGATCATCAAGAACACATGAACCAAAGCGGAAGTGCACCTGAATCAAACATGGTTAGTTGCAACAATTGAATTTTGTGATTATGCCTTCAAAATCAACACGTAGCACTTTTTCTCTCTGGTGATGGAAGCCAGAACAGAATGAGCAATACATGTGATTTGGGGACCATAATCTTGTTTATATACCGATTGCTTGTTAACCTAATTCAACCTATCATAGAATTAGAAACAATGGCATGAGCTCTACACATAAAAGCCCATGCTTTAATTAGATGCATCAAAGCCCAAAATACCGAAATTTTATTAGATCACTTTAAATGAGCTTAACTAAATTTGATAATCTTTAATTTAATACACAATAATTCACATAGAAGTCTACACGATCGATTAAAAATCTTTAAAATCTCTCTTGTGTCACCTTATAATTGTGCATTAAACATAAACTTATGAGTACTCAAAATTTTGCTATCATTACCGAATGCATCCCCAAATAATTCGGTCCATCAATTATATCAACATAGGTTCAAAGCGGCTTTTGCTACTTTCATCGTAACTAAACTCATCAATGATCATGTATATCGATATAACTGAATGACATGGATCAAGCATGGATGTGTAACATGAAAATTACATGTGATGTGATCTTAATATGCCTATTTCCAACTGGTTCACCTTAACACCTTAGTGAGATCATTTTCAAATAAGTTCAAAGATAATAAACCCAAAAAATTTATAATTTAAAATAATTTTAACAATAAATCATATCCAAAATAATAGTACATGTGTCCAATATGAAAAAAAAAACTCCCACTCAAACTAGACATCCTCAAGAGATATTACACCTATATGAGTAGTGTGCTCATAAAAAACCTTGAGTATTAATCCCTTAGTAACAGATCCGCAATCATGGAGTTTATTTTAATATGCTCTATTAACACCTGTCCACTTTGAATTCTTTCTTTAACAGCCAGGATCTTGATCTCTATATGTTTCGACTTTGTCGAACTCCTATTGTTATTGAGATACAACACTACTGATTTATTGTCACAAAATAGCTTGAGCAATTTTTCTATATTGTCCGCAATGCACAGCCCAGTGACAAAATTTTGCAGCCACACTCTATGGTTTGATGCCTCATAACGCGTTAGAAACTTCACTGTCGTGGTGGAAGTAGCTATAAGTGTTTGTTTAGCACTCTTCCATGAAATAATATATCCAGCAAGCAGGTAGATATAGCCCGAAGTAGATTTCCTACTATCTTAGCTCTTACGAAATCGAAATCAGAATAACCGATGATCTCCAATTAATCTGATATCTTGTATGTAAGTATGTAGTCTTTTTTCTCTATA